GTAGAAGAACCTAAAAATGCAACAGCTTAAAAGTGGAACAAACTAAATCATTATTGGCCTATTATTCAAAAAATGAAATAACTGTAATGGTAATACAAAACAGATAATGGAAAATAAGAGAAATTATTCACATTTGCAACCATTGTAAAATAGATAACAATATATTTGGTATATTGTTCTGTAAGTTTGGCTATGGATCTCAGGCTCTGGAGGTTTTGCATTCATTCGTTACTGGGGAAAGACTTGTTTTTCTGGCAAGCTTGGTACTCCACAGGCTAATAGTTCCTGCAAATGAGGCCCCACTTACCCTGGTTCACTTCAGCAATATTCCCTTATAGCATCTTTTAAAGGGATTCAAATGACAAGCAATACCTTTCTGAAGATGTTCCTGCAGAATTTCTTGTATATTACTCCCAGGGTCAACGCGTATTGCTCCTGGCAAATGGCTGACCTCAAATTCGTCTTCCTTCCGGATGTCCTAAGAATAGAACACCGCTGTATTTTTAACCAGCTCGTTAAAGAAAAACATAAAATACTTTCTGGCCATGCAAAATACGTAACTTGACATTTAAACTTCAATGTATCTCTGTTCTTAAGTGTTGTCCAAAGCTGGAGGAATACCATAGTCCTATGTGTGCACATTTCTGTGTCTGCAACAAGCAACAGACTTGCAAGCCTTTGGATCACCAAATTTGCAACTTTGTTTGATAGTCTTCAAATTAAGATTGTTCTACCTAGGCTCTCATAGGCTGGCTTTTGAAATGCATGTTGCCCGCCAGTTCCTTGACCTCAAAAACAGAACTCAGTGAACAGTTAAGCCTTTAATTAAATATGTTCTAACAATTGTTTCAGTGAGTGATAACTATGATCTTGCTTCTATCGAGTTACAATTATAGCATGGGAATAAAAAAATTGCAGACTTTGTACTGACTTGTTATAAATATAACATAATGCGTACCCTGTTCTCTGTTATTTAACCATATTTAACACAGGATTCTCTCAAGTCTGCAAAAATCTCTCTGACATTTTATGGATAAAATCCTTTAAGACATATTGACACGGATAATGGCAAGTTTGCTTTCTATGCTAGAGTAGATGGTTAAATGTATGAACCAAAGGGGATGGCTTAGGGTCCAAGCATTGGGTATGAAGTACCTATCGTTCTACAAGATCACTGCTTTCAACCATAAAGCCTTGCTGTACCTTCTTTTCTTTCTAATGCAAATGCACTGTGCTATGATCTCATAGCTGGACTCTTGGTAACATCCCACTTTCTCAGCCTCTGCCTTCAGGATCTAATAGCACTTCAGATAAGACACGACTCTATTTTCTCCAGTGTTGTACAATGGAACCTTGCTGCTTTCAGATCTCAGAAGTGGCTCCATTTAGTGGTTGTGTCTCTATATCAGGACAGATTTGGCAATTTCTACTGATGATTTATTATATCTTACTCCATATACCGTTCCATTTTCTAAAAAGGGATTATTGCCAGTGCCGTACTATTCAACATGACTAAAAATACCAGAATCTAGCCTCTAGTTTGTCATATTCTCTGAAACTCATCAGTATATTGTTTAGGCTTAAATAAGTGGAAAACATATTCAGATCAGAAATTATATTTTTGTCAGTTACAACTATCCAGTATGAAAAACAGCACAGTTGACTGGGATAGATAACTTCAATTACAGGGTAATGTATCCCTAAGTCCTCAAAAGGCACTTTGACTTAAGTCATAGTGAACATGTCAGATCTCACTCTAGCTACAGGAAACACTTTGTTATCAATTTGAAACTGAATGATTGAGTCCTGCAAAGAAACAAGTACCTTTATAATATCTCAAAGGAGAGTCATTTTTTTGCGAGATGAAGGATATTTCATTTAACACTAGAAGAAGAATCTGAAGTTAGGTGTGGCAGTTGGAAAGAGAGGTTAAGTCCAGACATTGCAATCAAACTACTGATGTTGGTAGACACATGATGCTACCTCATGGACCTGGTATCTGCCATCTGCGGTCTTCATGAATATAATATTTAAAAAGACATGTCACAAAACTGATTTTACTGTCGCTTAGCTACCATCTGTAATTACCACTGCTGCTATGTGTCCTTTCTTGAATGTAGTTTTCAACTTTCAATAGGTTAATTTACTTAAGGTAGAAAGCAGTATCTCATCTGCTTGTGTTCGTTAAGTAGTATAGCTCTATTTAACATATAAATCCACCATAATTCACAGCCAACTTTAATTTTAGCATATTCTGTCACAATATTTCAGAGAAAATAAGGGCCAGGCAACAGTGCTCAGACAGACAGAGCCAATAACAGGGACTGCAATCTAATCCCTAGAGAAGGAGAAACTGAGGCAGGGATGTTGTACCTCTTTCACAACAATAGTAAGGAAAATTCCACAGTCATATGGCTCACCGTCATATGTTAACACCTATCCCCTAGAAGTTTGATTGAACTGAAGAAAAAAATCCATCTTTTCCTAGAGAATGTTCTTGGCCATTACAGTATGACCCTGACTTTCAATTTTGCTCCTAGTTTTGATGGTCAAAAATTGAGATGCTTGACTTAATTCTAGTAAACCTACATAGTAATTTAGTTCCTGTGACCAACCCTTTCATAGGATCCTCTCCTGTGAAGTCAGTCTTGGGAGAGAAATCACATTCCAGAATAGCAATGCAGACACGTGGGATCTGTTTGATCTCTGCTTTTAGCCCAAAGTCTGTGTTTACTGGGGAGTGACTTGGTACATTTTGATATAGTAATGGTTGTATTCCTCAACCACTAAAACCTTGTCTCAAAAAAGCAACACTATTTTATTAAGAAAAAATAAGCACAAATCCTTTTTAGATATTTTTGTAACCCAATTCCCGGGGAGGGGATCACACTATGCAGAAAAAGATAGTATTATGGAAAATTGCTAACCAAGACACTAAAGATAGCTTAACAAGTGAAAATAGCAAACACTTCATTAAAAAAAAAATTGTCACGATTCAGGTAACCCTGTAAGCCTGTGCACGGCGCTCTGTGGCTCAAGTGCCTAATAATACGACTGCAGTAGCACTGAGCTAAGCTAGGTTGACTGTGCAAAACCATAGAGGTTTATTCTAGCCAAAGTCTGAAAAAACTAGTATGTGACATGAGGCAGAACTGCAACTTTTGGAATAAATGTACAACCTCAGAAGCTGGGCTCCTCTCCAGGGTGCTGATGCAACAGTGCAGCTCCGCTCCACACTCTTGGAGTGTTTATTTATTAACTGGTTTCACTCTGAGCCAAATTTTAAGCTGATGAAGAATTAACTACAGAGATTGACTGAAATCTCCTTGGCTGATTATAAAGTTGCTATTACAAACAAAACAAAGTCCAGTCCCAACTTTCTATTCAGTATGCAGAGAGAAAACAAAAAATCAAAATGTATTTTAGGATTGATTTCTACTTTCCATTTGGTTCTGCTCAGGACCTGATCAACAGTGGCTAGTCTAGTACAAAGTTAAAGTGAATGTTCTGCAAATACAAATATAAGCTCATCTTCTTTCAGTCATCTCAGCTTATGCATGGGTTGATCTAGACAAAAAGACATGTCTAGAACATTGCCCTCAAAGGTACTTTCTAATGGAATTGGAATGGAATTGCCTGTCTGGTAAAAGCTCCCTTTCAGGACAGAGCAAATCATTATTCCAACATTAATTTTCTCTAAAAGGTTTTTTTTAACCACGTTTTACATCAAATCTGTGATGCTAAAGCATGAAAAGTTCAGATCTGGAACATGGAGCTTTCCTGAGAAACTCAGAATATTGATGATTTCCTAACGCTAGCAACGACTGAAACATAAATACAAAGATTCTTGGTGAAAATGAACGCTCCGGGCCATGTCAGTGCGCCCCAGAAGAGCAATGGTAATGACGGGGGGGTAGTATGAAAAATCCTGGCATGGAGGTGCTCGTTATGGGTTCAAGGCAGTCTGCCCGCTAGACACAGATGCCGTCTAGAGACAGACTCTCCTGCAGCTTCCACCGAGGGGAGGCTATAGCCGAAGCTCCGTTAGCATTTTAGACGCTATAACCCTCTCACTGCCAGAAGGCACAGGAAACCAGATTTCGTTAAGTTCTGCTGTTCATAGAATTACTTGGTTTTAATTTCATTTCTCTTGGAGCATCCTAGCTCTAATAACACAAGTTTAAAAACCAATTTTATTAAATTCTAACTTAAAATATTTTCTAGAGTTAGAAAAGTAGTAACTTCTTAATGTAGATTATAAAGAGATCAGAATGGCAAATAATCGTTCCTGCTTGATTTTAAGCATAACTTGCTTTAATTCATAAACACCAAATTACTCACTAAAATAAGTAGGTCTTCTGGCTTTTCCTCCAACCAGCTTTGCAATGTCTCTGTAGGAACTGATTCCACATTTGGAAAAGACTTCTGCACCCATTTTATAGCCAAGTCCACCATTTCTGCAGGGTCAGTTACGTTTAGTTTACGGATCTCCTCTAGAAATTCTGTTGCCATTGCTTTAGGGGCAGTACAGAACTATAGAGAATGCACTCTTAAAATGTGTGCTTAAAATGTCCCTTTATTTATCTACTTGGTGATAGGTCACATGCCTGATTTATTATATTTGGATAGCTGCCATATTACTGCTAGAAGAAACATTTTTTTTTTCTGAAAAACAAGTCTAGAGAATGCAGAGGCAAGGATGAGACATTTATGCCTACACTGGGCCACACCAGAAATAACATTTCATATGTGACTTTTTTTTTCCAGACCATAAAAGCTTGCAAATTTTTGGTGACTGCTACATAAAGGTGGCCAATAAAGGCTGTGGAGGCCTGTTTGCTTTGTTCTCAGAGTGAAATGTTTGCTATAAAATGGGACTTTGACTGTCTAAAAAACACCCTGCGTGGAACTTGTACTTTGATTTTAGCAGCCTCTGCCACTTCACGGTTTGTCCGAGCTGCAGCAGAGCGCGGACAGCCAAGCAGTTTGGAAAGAGGACGTTTCCTGGCACTGCCGTCGGTCCTGGTTTACATGCAGAGACCAAAGCCTCTGGAGGGAAGTCGTTATGTGCCCTGCTGCCTCTGAACGCGCGGGAGGTGCCCCATCACAGCGGGGAAGGGATGCGGCCTATCACACTCAAAATTCAAATTCCTGTCAGTCGTATCTGTGCTTTTCTGTGTAATGTCACCGTGGGAAAAGCAATCCCTCTGCGTGTGGTGTATTTCCCTCACAAATGGAAACTGAAGAATTAAAATTATCATCATTTTTCCAAGGGATCTGGTATAAGTACGTAAACATGCAGTGCTGCAACAGGAACCCTACCCCCTTATGTTTGAGAGCTGTGAAGAACCAACACCGCGTGAGACGCCCCTTCACCGGAGGAAAATGGCGCTAACCGGGAAGCCACCTCCCCTAGCAACGCCCCTGACTACGAC